ATATTACTATATATACATATTACTATATATACATATATTACTATATAGACATATATTACTATATATACATATATTACTATATATTCATATATTACAATATAGACATATATTACCATATGTACATATATTACTATATAGACATATATTCCTATATATATATATATTACTATATAAACGTATATTACTATATAGACGTCTATTACTATATATACATATTTTACTATATAGACATATATTACTATAGACATGTTTTAGGGGGGGAGTGGTGTCACAGAGGTTAGAGAAGGTGGGCCTGGGATCGGAAGATTGCTGGTTCAAGCCCTGGTACCCACAACATCAAAAATGTGGGTGGTGTAGGTGAAGCACCCACACCTGCCCCCACCCTCATTTGTCCCGCTCTGGGCCCTTGAGCAAGGCCCTTAACCCCCACCATCTGCTCCTCTGGGTGTCCTAGATAGAAGCTCTCTGCTCCACACAGAGGACTGTGGTAGCTCGGTGTCTGTGGTTATGTCAGGTTGGCCATCCAGCGTAAAAATAACTGCCAAGTCTTTGTGCGACTTACTTCACTGTGGAGACCCCTAACACAGGGAGCAGCAGAAAGAAGAAAAAAAAACTATATACATATCTAAAAAAATTTAATCTGGTCCTCTGGACATTCAAAAAACAAAACAAAGCAAAACAACAAAAAATTTAGATACGTTTCATATCTCATCCGAAAGACTTCCTCAGTCTGAGGTGCTGTATTCAGCTCAGTCTTATAAATAGCTGAGATATCTCTGAGAGTCTGATCTATGAGAGTCTGATCTATGACAGTCTGGTTTATGAGAGTCTGGTCTCTGAGATTCTGGTCTATGAGAGTCTGATCTATGAGTGTCTGGTCTATGAGAGTCTGGTCTATGAGAATCTGGTCTCTGAGAGTCTGGTTTCTGAGTGTCTGGTGTCTGAGAGTCTGGTCTATGAGAGTCTGGTCTATGAGAGTCTGGTCTCTGAGAGTCTGGTCTACGAGGGTCTAGTCTATGAAAGTCTGGTCTATGAGAGTCTGGTCTCTGAGAGTCTGGTCTCTGACAGTCTGGTCTACGAGAGTTTGGTCTCTGAGTGTCTGGTCTACGAGAGTCTGGTCTCTGAGAGTCTGATCTATTAGAGTCTGGTCTATGAGAGTCTGGTCTACAAGAGTCTGGTCTACGGGAGTCTGGTCTACGAGAGTCTGGTCTATGAGATTCTGGTCTATGAGTGTCTGGTCTATGA